TCTCGGGTAACCTCCATTTCAGATGGGGGATTAGTGTCAACTGACAGTATTTGCATAGTTGAAGCAAGGCGGAGGAGGTCTTGTGCCGACGGGGACGAGCTAAACTGTGCCTTAAAATAGTGTGCCCAACGTTCAAGACGGCGTTCCTGAGTTTGAATCGGTGGACCGTCAAACTCCTTAATTACCTCACGCCTACTTTCCTTGGTCCTGTACTCCTAATTAGATGAAAAAGGATGCGACCATTACCAATAGCCGCAGCCTTCTCCATCTCTCTAGACCTCACTACTCATCACTTCTAGCGATCATTTCTACGACTCCTGATGAGCCGGTGTTTAGGGGATTTGCACACGATGCGGTAGACGATGGCTGGGCATGCTCAATGTGTCCTAACCAGCGAAGCCGACTTATCCGTATTCGACGGGACAACGAATTCTCCATCGAATCACTACCAAATACGCGACGAGTTACTTCAGATTCGCTTACACACTCGCTCCATCCCACCCGCACTAAATTACGTAAACATCGGCAGTCGAAGACCTCTAGGTGACGAATATCTTCCACGCGCAAATTTACGGTTTCGCAACTATAGAGCAGAACTGACAGCACACTGGCGCAGTATACACGACCTTTCAGTTTCAACGAACCAGCACGTCGGCACCAAAGGTGTTCCAGTCCAGCGTAAGCTGCTCGAACCTTGGAAATGCCGGCGGTAATTTTCTTGACTATGCTCCCGTCATTTGAAACGCAACTACCTAAGTAGGAGAAACATTCCACTATCGCTAATGCTTGATCATCAAACATCAGAGCTGAGGTAAGCGATACCCAGCCTTGTAGCATCACTGCACTTTGAAAGTGCATACCAAATACAATTACAGAACTTGAAAGTGTCACATGCACTTTGTACATCCTCCATATATTCGAACAGATGGACGATGTCATCGGCGTACACTAAATCCTATTGCTTTTCTCCAGCTGCCCGTTCAATACCAACATTTTAGAGATCACTTGATGGGTTCTCCAGTATTTCGTCTATAACGAACTTGAATAGGAATGGCGAAATAGGGCATCCTTAACGAGCACCACTCCTGGTTTTGGAAGATTTACTTAGCCCACCGTAGACCTTCACGCTAGCAGGAGTATGCAGGTGCGACAACCACAATAGGTTTACATACTTCCGCGGCATTGCTTTGCGAAGCAGCGACCTCATAAGAGCTTCACGATCAACCGAGTCGAAGGCTTCTTTTAGGTCAAGAAACACTGCGATTGTTGGTCGACGATGTATGTGTGACGTAATTCGAGGACTTGACGCAGAGTGAAGATTTTGTCGACGCAACCTCGACCCGGTTGGAATCCTGCTTGCTGTTCGTGGATATTTCTCTCCGTTAAGTGTCAGGCGGCAAAGAAGTGATAATCGGAACTAAACTAATACTGCCTTCATTCCATAAACCTCTTTTGACTCAGTGACCAATCCGCTTTCCAACAGGAGATTGCACAAGGACTGCTAAAAATGTGGATCAAGACAGTCACAATCGTCACTCAACTGTTAGCTTCTGTAATACTTCTCGTCCCAGTTGATTGAGTCGTAACGCCAAAAGGTACGTCTGGAGTTGGGTGGTCAAACGGAGCGTGATAAAGGAACTGAGGCAGTGATCCGATGAGCCTAAAGGGGAAGTGCAGGCGATGTGAGAATGAGGTCAAACATATGGACGCGGTTGCCAATTTGCTACAAAGGCGTTCTTTGTGCTTCAATCAACCGGATCAACTCATTCGCTAGTTTAGTTACACTCTCAATCAGGTAGCTGGTGTCTAGTGGTGGTTTATCGTACTCGATAGGGGGCAACGGCACAGGATCCTAAAGGCCATTTTGTTGACCAAATGCGTTCATGTGCGCTACGCAACACTCGATTAAAAATGAATTGCTGCAAATTCTGGCCCGGGCTCTAAGAGAACCAGTGTGTCGTTCTGTACCGACTGTCACCTTGTAATATATATTATATTTTTCACGCCGGCTCGACAACAACCATGGTGCCAATGCAAAACAATGATAGTGAACTTGTGATGGGGTACAGAAAGCATAAGATAGGTCTGTGGTGATTTTGTTATACCTTTGATCTTTATACCACTGCATCACTGTTTACTGGTAGTGTAGATTTTATATTTTTCTATTGTAACTGATGTGCCTACATTGTTAGAAGATTGAAGCCTCATTTCTGGCTGTCCGTCTGCTCTCTCTCTTTGAATGCAGTTTCACACTTTCGATTAGGTTGGTATCTCGCATGTTACGATCCACGGGGTTTCTGCCGCGATTGCTAACATGACCGCATTAGCACTGCGCCAATTAAGCTGTTCATTGGTACACTCTACCCAGCGATCCAGTGGTTCTTTTTTACCGTGGATGCTTTTATCGTAACTGTTCTCACAGACAGTTAGGCGACGACCTCCGGTGCCGCGTATCAGGTGAAACAGTCTTTGACTATCCCCTGATGTGGAAGCTACCTCCATTTCACTAACTATTTGGGCCCACCAATTTTCACGAGGGGGTCAAAGTGCCCTCCTAGACAGACTTCGGATGCGCTGTTTTCCAACCTTCAAGTTAAAATCATCCGACAGAGTTGCGGCTCAACCGAATGAGTTCGGCGGGTTTGTCATACAATTCGTCCTTTCGTGAGGCGGGACAGCAGTTGGCTGGTGCATACGCGGAAATGATGGACAAACACGTTTCGGTCTTGCTGCCCTTCCGAACAATAACTGAACCCTGGAGCCTTATTGCGCTGAAACGACTATCGACGGGTATGTAGTCTATCAGCTTGCTCGTTCAATACGATCCCTAGACCACATTGACCCAGTGAGCGGGCTTTATCGACTTCTGATGTACGAAGGAAACATCCCGAGCAGAGATCCGGCGGTACCATGCCCTCGGCGATGCACTAGCACCAAGAATGATCATTCTGCAGGCTACGGAGCGAACGCATGTCACAACCACGAAAGTGGTGGCGGCAGCCCAGTGGCAACGTCACCAAATTATCATCCCGGGAAATTTTGAATTCAAACACCACCACCTGACTTTCCCCATCATCTGTTGAATAGCAGCCTTTTGATTGGTCGCTTCCCTCTTCCTGAAAACTATCTTTGTAGATTCAATAGGAAGTAAAATGAAAAAGTTAGGGATTGTCATATTTATCTTCTGGGGTAATGCATTTCAGAAAAATCGACAATGAAATCACCATCGCGCAACACGGTTCGAAGAAATATGACCTCTCAACGTATACATCAACCGTGCTGACCAAGCTGGTGAATGAAAGATCCCCTTTATTGAGTACACTCACGGATGCTACGTTGCCCGCGACAGCTGACTGCCCACAAGCGAGTTAGCAGTTTCATTAGGTTGTCCCGAAGCTCCTCCAGTCCTCCATCAGTTGAAGTACTCAACAATGGAAGTTATGCATAAAGCGNNNCAAACGAAAATCTATTTGACGGTCGATTTTCGCTCTCTTCGAAGAATGCATGTGAAAAGACCCCTTTTCGATGCTGAACAAGTTAATTCACCCCTGTCCATGAAGATCCTAAGACATCTTTCGTAACGGATTGGAAAACGTCAAGCGAAGATCTTGATCAGTTCACTCCCTCTCAGTCTAAGCACTACTGTGCAGAATAGGGCACCAGATAGAGATCTGCAGGATGTCGATTTTGCTACTTGAGCGAAGTGTGTCAACTGCCAATTGTAAGTCTTCAGACGCAGGTTGGAACTTATTTGATCTCACGCAAACTCCATTCTCATGCATGCATGACCAGTGTACTCAATAAAACGGCCTTTCGTTTCCTAACAATCGGTTGGCACTGCTTATATTTTCGAAAGTACTTTCCTCTGAATAACTGAACGCTAAAATGTACTTCGCACAATCACTAAAGAAAAGAATGGTGCGGCATAGTTGATTCGCCTTAATCCGAATGAGAATCGCCAGTATCGGCAGTTGGTTATGGTTAATGTTAATTTTGGAATGCAGATCTCTCGTCCGAAATCTAAACTCGACGACAAATGAGTCTGGCTTCGAAGTGTAAGTTCGCTGACAATACTTTGTAGCATTCACCAATACATGTACTGATATTTTCCCCGGAGTATCTCTGGTCCCTGTGTTGAGACAGTCCGAAGTTAAAATGCACACAAATCATCGCCATATCAGTACGTTTATTGCTTTAGTGAATGGAACTAGCCGTGGATGCAATCTTTGGCCAGAGATCCGCACACTCCTTTGCAACAGGGCCGGTTATGGCGGAACCTGAAAACGGAATAAACATTGAGCAATAAGGACAGCATGTAAATGTACGGACTAGCTAACAAATAGGGAATGGTATTCCCAAGTCAGAGAAGTTGGGATTTACTTTTGACTAAGGCTGCCAATCATCGTGGTATTCTTTTTTTTTACATAAAACACCAGTTTTCCCAGAAAACCAGCTATGCACACAACCACGTGTAGCGACAGTCATCGGCTGACTACTCAAATGCTCTAGATAGAGAAGAAAACCATGATTTACCATCGTCAGACTAGAAAACTGACTAATCATGAAATCAACAAGGACTTACACCATTACCTATTCGATCAACGTTCAGGGTTCCAAAAACAATTGGATCTGCTGCATATGCTTCCAAGGTATTCGGAATGATTTGCTCCTCCACTTCCTTACCATATTCGTGTGAATTGCAGTCGGGGTCAATTACGGAGACACGAGGACCCGTTGTTCAGTTACGATAACTGGCAATCTATCTCGGGACTTGGAGTGGCGTACCGGGTTGAGTGACATTGACAAGACTCTTCATTACCAGCCGGATGGTGGTGGGCTTTGAAGATCAGATCCTAGGGGCCAGACCTTGCTGGTGGCAGCTACTGAATTACCCACGTCTTGGCATATTCGGATGAGTTCTATTGAAGTGCGCCCGTATTGAATGCATACGGCACAACATCGACAAGCGGATAGAGAGATGAAAAGACGGAAGTTCCAATGCAACTCAGCTATGTAAGACTTGTGGTGTCGACTTGGGCTGACCGTGCTTTACATTCACGCACACTCAGTTCAACCAACCGTGCATTCGAAATCTTTCTCGGCTGGGCTCATCAGTAGTGCTTATTTATTCGCCGGGGATCTGAACTCCAAGCCTGAAAGGTGTTACCACTGTGTCAACCATATCAACTACTTACAAGTGACTGTGGGATGTGAATCGGAATCTTAGCTTTCATTGTGACAAGTCGGCCTGGACCTGTGTGGGGGGGTAACCAAATAAGGCCTACAACGCAGGTTTAGGATGGCTAGTCACAATTAAGCCCGAGATTTCAATTACATTCACTTGGGTCGGAGCGGGGGTATCGATGGTCCCCTAGGGTGTTGTGATAACGGATTGGCTCGAGTTGCTAACCGACCTTGTGTGGACTTGTCGGCAGTGGTGGCGCGGCTCTCCGTCCGATGGGTTCGGACTGTAAATCCCAGACGGGAAGATAGGCGTACACTACCGACCAACCCTAACGAGAGCGAAAATAGTGAATGGTTGTACGGATAAATCGAAAACTGTCGACAGTCTTAAGGATGACTTTTCCCAAATAAACACGACTAACGATGGCGCACCATGTTGGGTTAAACTAAATCACTTTAAAGCTATTGGAGATTTTTTGTTTAGTCAGGTGCGGACTCGTTCAGTGCCACTGAAATAAGTTGTTTTCCTCGAGATGGGCAGATACAATGTTTGGTACTATAATTCTCAAGCCTATTGACAACCACCGGAGCGTCCTTGGGGGTTCACGATCTGAGTAACTTTTGCCACCACGAAACTCATGGAAACCAGCTGAAATTCTCGAGAGAGAAAGCCAATAACCAATAAACCATGTATGCGACCTGGAGATAGAATACCAAGACTATGCTTCATACAGTTTGATATATGATACGGAATGATTAGGCGGTAGGTATTCAAAAAAAATAAGGCTTACGCTTCCCAATGCGTTCGTGCGGCCATGTTCGACGAACTCGAGCAACAGTATGGTTGAGGNATGTGCAGAAGTGAGTATAGCAGAATTTGACAGAATGATCAGAATTTCCATAGCATAGGTTTGTCCCGCTTGTGAATTACAACACTGTCCTCAAACCAAGAACCCCACCTCACGAACGTACCGGGGAACGCAAGTTCGAGGTAGTATTTCGACTAATGCACCCCGAACCCAGGGATCATCGAAATCATTCCGTCTGCAGATTATAGCCACGAGTACCCAGTGCTTGAAGCAAGTGCAAAATTAGTCGAACACTACCTAGGTAACCATTGCGAACCAACAAACGAATGCAGTACGACATTACCCAAGCAGCACGAGCATATGGGCGACACCTAAGAGCCCATGAAAAAACGGTCCATAATTGGACCACATCAACTGCCACATATAATCAAACAATTCCAGATAACTACTGCGACAAGCTGCCTCTAACAACTGTTTACATTAGATGCCAGTGAGGAACTGGAAGGATATTTTAAGTATTATGGACGGTACCCGAGTAAAGTGAAACTGATAACGAGACCGTTGTGCCGGTTGGGCTGAAAATTGAGCGCTCCCCTAGAAGCCAGATGGGCTGAATGAGTACACCCGCAGAACACCTAAACAAAGTACAACTCACCCTTTAGTTCACCTTTATTGTTAACAATCACACCGGCATTGTCCTCGAAATAAATGAAAGTGCCATTTTTCCGCCGATAGGCCTTGCGCTGCCGCACGATCACCGCATACAGAACTTTCTTCCTCAGCTCGGGCTTTCCTTTCTTCACTGAGCAAACGACAAGATCACCAGTTGCCGCTGCTGGCAATCGGTTGAGGCGACCCCGGACACCAAAAGCCGCTATCATATAAAGATTTTTGGCGCCGCTATTATCTGCGCAGTTGATCACAGCACCCACTGGTAAAGCGAGTGATATGCGGAACTTTCCTCCTGAAGAACCACCGCGTCCTGCAAAGGGAAACCCATATCAAACATCCCTACGTTGGAATAAGTAATTACGTACCACGCTTTGGCATGTTGGTTGCTCCGATAGCCCGCGATTAGTGGCCCGAACTGATTAAAACAAATTCAGTGCAGCGCCACTTTCATCGAAATAACTTTAGTGTGATGACTTGAATTTCTTTGTAGTGTCCGCACATCTTCGGTATCCTTGGAGGAACGTCTGCTCGATATTTGGATGTTTGAAACCGTCAAGGTTCCGAGACCATCGGACGCCAGCCTCGAATCAGAGGGTCACTTCAATACTTCATGACAAGAAGTGCTGGCACTCAAAAGTATCATTTCGTCCTGTGTATACTGAATTGAACTGAACTGATGTCAGGTCGGGTTGGCGAGTTTCTGAGCGAACCACTATTATTTCCAATTTACATCAACCATTTCATACGGGATCTCTAGAATCCCTGTTTCATGTTCGCGGACGATGTGAAATCAGCCGGAACAAATCTAGCGTGCGATGTAGACGCGGTTAGACAATGGTCGATACAGTGGGACTTACCAATAAATCTCAGTTCAGTTCAGCTCCAGTACGTTGATAGCGGTGAGCCAGTTGGCACAGTTTCTCGCAGTGGTGAGAGGAATCCCCGATGCTGCGACAGATGGAGGAGGGAGATGACTCTTCTTCAGGGTCGCGATCAAAACTTCAGGAGAATTGGGCGTTGACCTCCCACTCTTGCGCCACATTAAGTGAAAGTGGGTCTATACGGAGAGAAAAAGCAGTGTGCGGAGAAGGAGGGAGTGGAGCTGCTGGGCAATCACGTTGCTCGGGCGGTTTATTAAGTGAAAATGCCGGTATTGGCTATGATTGTACAAAGTAAAAGAGCAATCCACGAGGACGTTTTTCGTTGATATTTTCTTCACCATCAAATCTAACCCCAAATGTGATACTCCTTTGTTTTACTTCTGTTTGTTTGACTGAGCGCGGTTTTCCGCTCAGGTGTATATATAAGCTGGGTCCTGTTCAAACCCATGTAACACGTGTGACACGCTCTCGCTTGGCTACTGCATTTATTCCTTGCATTGTTTGCCATCACCTCTGCAAGTATTCAATGTCCAATGTCCAGTTTACAGGCGGAGAAAGCTCGTTGGCTTGTTGTTTCACCTGTTTCTTGATCTATACGGTAAAGTCTGATGTTCGGAAATTTCTTTGTTGAATTCCTTTATTCTTGTAATCTGAAAGTGTAAGCAAAAACAGGTTAGTAGGTTACTTCTTGACGGTGTAGCAGGTTAGTTACCTGTTGTCAGTTAGCGGAACCGAATTGCATGCCGTACGAGGTGTGCTGCATGGACAGTCCAGAGGTCCACCTAACATTACTCCGAGGGTACTCAAGGTTGCTGTCCACTGCCGAGGTGATGCCCACGGCGAATTTATCTAGTCTTTGCTTGAAGCACGCTGTCGTAGGCGCAGAGATCACTTCCTCGGGTAATGAGTTCCAAGCGGATGTGGCCCGGATGGAGAAGAATAACCGTCTGCTGTTAGTACTACTCTGGTGGTGCAAGATG